AGGGAGTCATTTGTCATCAGAGCATTAGAACGATGACAAATGTCACAGGGCTGGCCTCTTCCGATCTTCTTTTTTTTTGTTGAGATAAAGTCTCACTCTGTCACCCAGGCTGTAGTGCAGTGGCACGATCTTGGCTCAATACAACCTCTGCCTCCTGGGTTCAAGTGATTCTCCTGCCTCAGCCTGGGACTGCAGGCTGGGACTACAGGTGCCCACCACCATGCCCGGCTAATTTCTGTGCTTTTAGTAGACACGAGGTTTCACCATGTTGGCCAGGCTGGTCCTGAACTCTTGACCTGAAAAAATCTGACCTGCCTTGGCTTCCCAAAGTGCTGGGATTACAGATGTGAGCCGCCACGCCTGGCTGGTATCTCTATTTAAAAAAAAAAAAAAAAAAAAATTAAGGTCAGGCACAGTGGTTCACGCCTGTCATACCAGCACTAAGGGAGGCCAAGGCAGGCCGATCATGAGGTCGGGAGATCAAGACCAGCCTGGCCAACATGATGAAACCCTGTCTCTATAAAAAATACAAAAATTAGCTGGACGTGGTGGTGTGTGCCTGTAATCCCAGCTACTCGGGAGGCTGAGGCAGGAGAATCGCTTGAACCCAGGAGGCGGAGGTTGCAGTGACCCAAGATCACACCACTGCACTCCAGCCTGGGCAACAAGAGTGAAACTGTCTACGTCAGGTGCAGTGGCTCATGCTTATAATCCCAGCACTTTGAGAGGCCAAGGTGGGTGGATCACAAGGTCGGGAGTTCAAAGACCAGCCTGTCCAATATGGTGAAACCCTGTTTCTACAAAAACAAGCTGGGTGTGATGGTGCACACCTGTAGTCCCAGCTACTCGGGAGGCTAAAGCAGAAGAATTGCTTAGACCTGGGAGGCGGAGGTTGCAGCAAGCCAACTTTCTGCCACTGCACTCCACCCTGGTGACAGAGCAAGACTCCATTAAAAAAAATTTTTTTTGGCCGTGCGCGGTGGCTCAAGCCTGTAATCCCAGCACTTTGGGAGGCCGAGGCGGGTGGATCACGAGGTCGAGAGATCGAGACCATCCTGGTCAACATGGTGAAACCCCGTCTCTACTAAAAATACAAAACATTAGCTGGGCATGGTGGTGCGTGCCTGTAATCCCAGCTACTCAGGAGGCTGAGGCAGGAGAATTGCCTGAACCCAGGAGGCGGAGGTTGCGGTGAGCCGAGATCGCGCCATTGCACTCCAGCCTGGGTAACAAGAGTGAAACTCCGTCTCAAAAAAAAAAAAAAAAATTTTGTTTAATAGCTCAGTTGGAAATAAAATAACTGTGGTAGCTCTTGGTACCTCCTTCAGGACCAGGACAGAACTACCAGCTTTGTCTTGAATTAGGGCAGTGGGTCTTTCACACCTGTAGGGTCCTAACGCATGTTACGAATTTTCGAATAAGACTGCAGGGATTTAGAATGAAACTGACTGCAATCAGCCTTCAGGAGAGGAGGGGGAGCTCCAGGCGCTCCTGGGAAGGCTGAAGAGAAGCCAGAGGCAGGAGCTCCTGCTACAATGTTTTTGTTCCTTTTTCTTTTCTTTCTTTCTTTCTTTCTTTTTTTTCTTTTTAAAGGCTGGGTTTCACCATGTTGGTCAGGCTGGTCTTGAACTCCCGACCTCAGGTGATCCGCCCGCCTTGGCCTCCAAAGTGCTGGGATTACAGGCGTGAGCCTCCATGCCTGCCAGCAATGTTTTTCAAACCGCAGGTCACAACCCAGGAGTGGGTTGCAAAAATCCATTTGGTGGAATAGAAGCATTTTCTTTTTCTTTTTTTTTGTTGTTGTTGTTTTTGAGACGGAGTCTCACTCTGTTGCCCAGGCTGGAGTGTGGGGCTGCATCTCGGCTCCCTGCAACCTCGGTCTCCCAGGCTCAGCTGATTCTCCTGCCTCAGCCTCCTGAGATAGCTGAGATTACAGGCACGTGCCACCACACCCAGCTAATTTTTATAATTTTAGGAGAGATGGGGTTTCATCACATTGGCCAGGCTGGTCTCAAACTCCTGACTCTGCAGATCCACCTGCCTTGGCCTTCCAAAGTACTGGGATTACAGGTGTGAGCTACTGCACCCGGCCATATTTTTATAAAACAAAGACTAGGCAAGAATAGAAATAGGCTAGAATAGAAATAGGCAATATCAGAAAAAATCCATTTAGCAGGTTGCAACTATTATTTATTTATTTAGAGACAGAGTCATGCTCTTTCGCCAGGCACCAGGCTGGAGTGCAGTGGCGCAATCTCAGCTCACTGCAACCTCCGCCTCCTGGCTTCAAGCAATTCTCCTGCCTCAGCCTCCCATGTAGCTGGGACTATAGGTGCGCACCACCATGCCCAGCTAATTTTTGTATTTCACTAGAGACGGGGTTTCACTATGTTGGCCAGGATGATCTCGATCTCTTGACCTCGTGATCTGCCTTCCTCAGCCTCCCAAAGTGCTGGGATTACAGGCGTGAGCCACCATGCCTGGCCGCAACTATTATTTTTTTATAAGATAAAAGAACAGAAGGCCAGATGCGGTGGCGCACACCTGTAATCCCAGCACTTTGGGAGGCTGAGGAACGCGGATCACCTGAGGTCAGGGGTTTCAGACTGGCCTGGCCAACATGGTGAAACCCCATGTCTACTAAAGATACAAAAATTAGCGGGTGTGGTGGCACACGCCTGTATTTCCAGCTACTTGGAAGGCTGAGGCAGGAGAATTGCTTGAACCCGGGAGGCAGAGGTTACAGTGAGCTGAGATCATACCACTGCACTCCAGCCTGGGCGACAGAGTGAGACTGCCTCAAAAAAAAAAAAAAAAAGAGGATGCTAGGTGATTCGAGAGAGGACTCCAGGTTTTTGGCTGCAAAATCCCCAGGGCTCCAGATTCCATCCAGTGCCTCTTCCTTGGAGATCCCCCAAAGCCCCACAGGCTTTGCGGAGCTCCCAGGTTGGATCAGACAGGCCGGTGGATTTTGTGGCCCTGATCCCTCACGGTCATCTGTTCCCACACACCCTCCTCTTCCAGAACCCCCTGGTTGTGGAGGCTGAGAAGAAAGTCTCCTACGACTGCTGCCGCCGGGGCACCGTCCGCTTGCAAATCCGGATGGAAAAGAACACATTCACGCCGGGAGAGAAGGTCGTCTTCATGACAGAGATCAACAACCAGACCAGCAAATGCATCAAGACAGTCATCTTCGCCCTGTACGTCCACGTGCAGCACGAGGGCTTCACGCCCAGCGCGGAGCGGCGGTCTCGGCTGGACAGCAGCGAGCTTCTGCGGCAGGAGGCCGGCACCCCCATGACCCGCTTCAACACCACCAAGATCGTCAGCACCTTCAAGCTGCCGCTGTTGCTGCCCGTGAGCAGCGGCACGCAGGACGGTGACATCATGCATGCTCACTACGAGCTGGCCGTCACCGTGCACCTGCCCTGGTCCCTGGCCAGCCTCAAGGCCAAGGTTCCCATCATCATCACCAGCGCCTCGGTGGACTCTGACAGCGACCAGCCGCCAGAGGACGAAGTGTCACCCGTGAGCCCAGATCACCAGAATTAAGCACCCAAACTTTTAAATATTAAAAAAAAGCTTTATCAGTCTCTACCGGGAGGAAGCCCTCTGTCTTGCACAGGTGACTCTCAGATGAGTCGTGGCATGGGCAGCACGTGGTCAGCCACCTCCCCAAACTCTAGCAATTTAGACATCCATGTCTTCTATCCCAGAACTACCACTGAATGCCTAGAATGGACAAAAGAACCTGGGAAGGCCTCCCTGGACTCAACCCCGACATAGCTCTCCTTTCCCACCCTAAGTCTGCCCCAGCCTACTGGGGTCTCATAGTGCCAAGATCAGGGGTCCCACATGGAGGGATTCTCTCCTCTGCTAATGTCTGGTTGTATTGGCTGTCGCGACCTCAGGGGGTCGGGGGAGAAGCCAGTCCTGCTGGCGTGGAGTGGGTGGATGCCAGGGACGCTGCTCAGCACCCTGCAGTGCCCAGGATGGCCCTCACTATCAGGAATTGTTTAGCCCACATGTCAACAGTACCAAGGGGGCTGGGCATGGTGGTTCATTCCTGTAATCCCAGCACTTTAGGAGGCCATGGCTGGAGGATCACTTGAGACCAGGAATTTGAGACCGGCCTGGGCAACATTGTGAGACCCCATATCTACAAAAAAAAAAAAAAAAAAAAATCACGCCTGTAATCCCAGCACTTTGGGAGGCCGAGGTGGGTGGATCACCTGAGGTCTGGAGTTTGAGACCAGTCTGGCCAATATGGTGACACCCTGTCACTACTAAAATACAAAAAAAAAAAAAAAAAAAAAATTAGCTGGGCGTGGTGGCGCGTGCCTGTAATCCCAGTTACTCTGGAGACTGAGACAGGAAAATTGCTTGAACCTGGGACATGGAGGTTGCAGTGAGCCGAGATTGCACCACTGCACTCCAGCCTGGGCAACAAGACTGAAATTCTGTCTCAAAAAAAAAAAATAAAATATATATATATAATGTTTAAGCAGAGGTAGTGGCGCACACCTGTAGTCCCAGCTATTCAGGAGGCTGAGGTGGGAGACTCAATTGAACCCAGGAAATCGAGGCTGCAGTGAGCCATGATCGTGCCTCTGCACTCCAGCTTGGGTGAAGAGCAAGATCCTGTCTCAGAAACAAAACAGAACGAAATACCGCCCACAATATGACAGTACAAAGGGGGCGCCACTCTGTGCTGGTGTAATTCACAGAGGTTGCTGTGGAGCCCCGGGACTGCTCTGTGGGTCTCACACCCGAATCAGATCCTGCGGACCTCTGCCTACAGCAGTTTAGGCTTCCTCCCCCATAATTGCGATCAATGCCAAAGTCTTCCTGGTGATAAGCCTGTGCCATCTGCCCATGTGTGATCCTTCCATCCATAAGCCATACGGGCTCTGTCCTCACACTGCCCAGCATCTCCCACTTCTCCTTGTCCCCTGAGTCTGCCCTGCTCTGATCCACCTTTTTTTTGTTTTGTTTTTGAGACAGAGTCTCCCTCTGTCGCTCAGGCTGGAGTGCAGTGGTTTCATCTTGACTTATTGCAACCTCCGCCTCCTGGGTTCAAGTGATTCTCCTGCCTCAGCCTCCCAAGTAGCTGGGACTACAAGGGAGCGCCACCACACCAGGCTAATTTTTGTATTTTTAGTAGAGTTGGGGTTTCACCATGTTGGCCAGGATGGTCTCAAACTCCTAACCTCAAGTGATCTGCCCCAAAGTGCCAGGATTACAGGCGTGAGACATCGCACCCTGTCACCCAGGCTGGAATGCAGTGGTGCGATCTCGGCTGACTGCAACCTCCGCCTCCCGGGTTTAAGTGATTCTCCTGCCTCAGCCTTCTGACTAGTTGAGATTACAGGTACGTACCACTACATCCGGCTAATTTTTGCAGTTTTTAGTAGAGATATGGTTTCATCATGTTGGCCAGGCTGGTCTCAAACTTCTGACCTCAAGTGATCCGCCTGCCTCAGCCTCCCAAAACGCTGAGATTACGGTGTGAGCCACCAGACCTAGCCACAAATGTAATTTTAAATTTCCTAGGTCAGGCGTGGTAACTCACGCCTGTAATCCAAGCACTTTGGGAGGCCGAGGCAGAGGATCATCTGAGGTGAGGAATTCATGACAGCCTGGCCAACAGGGTGAAATCCCATCTCTACTAAAAATACAAAAATTAGCCGGGTGTGGTGGTGCGCACCTGTAGTTCCGGCTACTTGGGAGGCTGGGGCAAGATTTGCTTGAACCTGGGAGGTGGAGTTTGCAGTGAACTGAGATTGGGTCACTGCACTCCAGTCTGGGGGACAGAGCAAGACTCTGTCACCAAAATAAATAAATAATAAATAAATGAAATTAGCCAGGCATCGTGGCGTGAGCCTGTAATCCCAGCTACTCGGGAGGCTGAGGCAAGAGAATCGCTTGAACCCAATAGACGGAGGTTGCAGTGAACCAAGATCGAATCACTACACTCCAGCCCAGGCAACAGAGTGAGACTCCATCTCAAAAAAAATAAATAAATAAGATAAAATAAAAAATCAATAAATATCCTAGTAGTCAAGTTAGAACCAGCAAAAATGGAATAGGCAAAATTGATTTTTACATTTTTAAAATGTATGTATGTATGCATGTATTTTGAGATGGAGTCTTGCCCTGTTGCCCGGGCTGGAGGGCAGTGGTGTGATCTTGGCTCACTGCAACCTCCGCCTCCTGGGTTCATGTGATTCTCCTGCCTCAGCCTCCTGAGTAGCTGGGATTATAGGCGCACACCACCACACCCAGCTAATTTTTTGTATTTTTAGTAGAGACGAGGTTTCACTGTGTTGCTCAGGCTGGTCCTCAACCCCTGAGCTCAGTCAATCTGACTGCCTTGGCCTCCCAAAGTGCTGGGATTACAGGCGTGAGCCACTGTGCCCAGCTTATTTATTTATTTTTGAGACGGAGTCTCACTCTGTTGACCATGCTGGAGTGCACTGGTGTGACCTCGGCTCACTGCAACCTCCACCTTCCATGTTCAAGTGATTCTCATGGCTCGGCCTCCAGAGTAGCTGGGATTACAGGCACCCGCCACCACAGGTGGCTAATTGTATTTTTAGTAGAGACGCGGCTTCACCATGTTGGCCAGGCTGGCCTCGAACAACTGACCTCAGGTGATCTGCCCGCCTCGGCCTCCCAAAGTGCTGGGATTACAGACGTGAGCTGCCACGCATGACTCTACATTAGGGGTGGGTTCTTTGTCTGTGGCGGGGCCATCCTGGGCACTGAAGGATGCTGAGCAGCATCCCTGGCTTCCACCCACTCCATATCAGGAGTAACCCCCGGTAGTGACAACCACACATGTCCCCAGAGGTCACTCGGTGTCCCCTGGCTGAGAGCTACACTGTGCAGTATATACTTGGAAGCTCTGTGCAGTTAATATATCTCGCAGTAAGTGCTATGCATGAGAATCCCAGCACTGCTATGTATTTATTAGTAGGAGTATTTTTTTAGACAAAGTCTGGCTCTGTAACCCAGGCTGGAGTACAGTGGCACCATCATAGCTTACTGCAACCAGAAGCTCCTGGGCTCTAGCGGTCTGCCCACCTCAGTCCCCCAAAGTGCTGGGATTATAAGCATGAGCCATCGCGCCCGGCCGATGCTGTTTTTTGTTGTCGTTTTGAGGCAAAGTCTCGCTCTGTTGCCCAGACTGGAGTTCGGTGGTGCGATCTTGGCTCTGCCTCTGCCCTGGGTTCAAGCAATTCTCATGACTTGGCCTCCCACTAGCTGGGATGACAGGAACCGTCCACCACACCCATCTGATTTTTGTTTTTTCTTGTTTGTTTGTTTTTTTGAGATGCAGTCTTGCTTTGTTGCCCAGGCTGGAGTGCAGTGGCAGGATCTTGGCTCACTGCAAACTCCGCCTCCTGGGTTCAAGCGATCCTCCTGCCTCAGCCTCCCAAGTAGTTGAGATTACAGGCGCATGCCATCACACCCAGCTAATTTTTGTATTTTTAGTAGAGATGGGGTCTGGCCATGCTGGCCAGGCTGGTCTTGAACTCCTGACCTCATGATCCACCTGCCTTAGCCTCCCAAACTGCTGGGATTATAGGCTGAGCCACCGAGCCCAGCTTAATTTTTGTATTTTGAGTAAAGATGGGGTTTCACCATGTTGTCCACGACGGTCTCACACTCCTGACCTCAAGTGATCCTCCCACCTCGGCCTCCTGAAGTGCTGGGATTACAGGTGTGAGCCAGCGTGCCTGGCCTCTGCTGTTTATGTGCTGAATGGCTTTGGGCCAGTCACTTCTGTTTCTGAAACTCAGTTTCCCCTGGTGTAAAAGGGATTCATTCAAGATGCTGGATTAAACCAGCCAATGCATATAAATGGCCTGAACCAAAGTCACCGCTCACTCCACAGGCACCACCGTTACCCCAGCGGGACTCTTCTGGAAGATTCTGACCTGCTCTGCAGCCCCCCACAGCGGGGCCCTGCCCGCTCCTCGCCAGCTGCCTCCTGCCTCCAGGCCCTAGACTCAGTGGACCACACAGGCGGGCGTTGGGGACGCTTCCTGTGCAGCAGCGGTACCCACCACGCCAGGTGGGCCAACGGGAGAATGCAGCTGGGGCCGCCCCACTTCCTGCCCCGTGGAGGGGCCTCTCATTCTCCCTGGCCCCCACTCCCAAAATAACCCTCCCCCGCCCCGGGAACCAAAGTCACCCACACCAGCTGTGGTCTCCCATTTGGGGGACGTGGGACAGCCAGGGGACGAGCAGCTGCCACCACCACCGTGCCTGCCCCTCCGGGAATGTCCACCCCCTGCTGCCACCACCTCCAGCATTCCAATCCCCAAAAGGGGAGTGACCCAGCCTCTGCCATCGTCCAGGAAATATGAACTCCGAGGAAGCCAGGCTGGGGGGAGGAGGGAGGTCCTTGGCCACCTTAGGCGACCAGGGACCCTTCCTAACCTGAACCCCCAGGGCCTGAGGTGCCCCCAGTTTTCACCTCGAGTGACTGTGTTGGGGAAAAGGGGCTGGTTGCCAAGACAACAGCCCCCCACCTCCGCCCGGGGAACAAAGAGGCAGCCGGAAGAGCCAAGAACGGTCTGTTCTCTCCCCGCCAACGCGGCTGGCACATCCTGGCAGCTGGCACCGGGAGGGCCGTGCCCAGAGCCGCCGGGCCTGGCCACCCTGGACACGGCTCTCCAGGGAGGGGGCAGCTCAGGGGGTGGCTGCGGCCCCAAGGAATAGAGTGGCAGGGCCCGGTGGGATCTGGTTCCCGGGCGGCTGCCCCAGGCCTCTGTCCTTCGCGGACATGGACGAGGAAGCTGCCCGGCTGCCTGCAGGACTCGCGGGAGTTCCAGAACATCTTAAATGTCCAGCTTAGAGCCGGATGGGCCACCAGGGCTGGAGGGTACAGGACACAAAGGCCTGGAAAGGCCTGGCCCCAGGTCCCCTCAGGCATTCCATGTATGTGCGTGCAAGTCAGTGGGACACTCCTGGCCTGGGAGAGGCCGACGGAGGGGACAGTGGGTCTCAGAGCGGCTCCCCTCCCCCACGCCCGCCATCGCCTTGCAGGGGGCAGCGGGCAGCTGGCGCCATGAGGTCCTGGGGGTGGGGACAGACCAGGGCCTGCATGCTAAAAGACCCCTGGCTTCCCGCAGCAAGCCTGAGCTGCCGGAGAC